GGCCAAAGAGGCGCGGCGGCATCGTGGTAAGAGGCAATCTGGCGTATTTGCCAACGCTGGATCCCCTGCCTCAGGAGATCTCGAAAAAAAGCGAAGCGAAGTGGCTAAGAGCGAAATCACTGGCCCCACGTCAGGCTGGATCAGCACCGACGACAGCGTCACCCAGCCGATCCGCTTGAGCGACAGGGCGACCACCCTGAGCGGCCCGCGCGCCGACGCCCACGTCAGCTTGTCCTCGCCCGCCTCGACCTTGTCCAGCGTCACGCGCCAGGCCTTCTCCAGCGCGCTCATGGACACCGCCTGCTGCCACACGACCGCAGCGTAGTGCATGAGCGGCTCGACGGTCGCCGCGAAGACTGGGTCGTACTGAGGGTTCCGCTCACTGGCCAGGTAGAGCGCGCTGCTGCCACCTCGGCCCTTGGCCCCAGCAAGTCGGGCCGCCTCCGAGCGCATCACGGCCAGCTCGGAGGGGGCCACCCCGCTCACCGCCGCTCCATGGGCGGCAGCTGGCAGCAGGCCCGTCTGCCACAGGCACGCCGCACGCCCTCCAGCAGCACGTCGCAGCCTCGCCGCTCGCCTCAGCCGCGGCCTCACGTTCTTGAGCCTGGCGTTGACGACCTTCCTGCAGGCCTTGGTCCCATTCAGGTCGTGACCAAGGTTCCCCATGTGCGGCTGCGAGCCCATCCTGAGTCGCCTGCCAAACTGCGCCGCTGCATCGCGGCTCTGCTTGGACGTCGCCACGTAGCCCGACTTGGGCTCCTGCAGCAAGAGGCCCACGTCCCCGACCTCATGCTTGAAGCGCTTGACGGCCTGCCACAAGACGCGCACGCCTCTCAGATCCGTGCCGATCCACTGGACTGATGTGTCGTCGGCGAGCGTGCGCGGGATCACGTCATACGTCGCCAGCCGCCGCAAGGCCCGCTCCGTCGCCACCACCAGCACCGCCATCGAGTGGGAGCAGCCCGCCAGGATGCCCTGGTGCGCCGTGAAGCTCTTCGACATCGAGCCGAACGCCTCGATGCGCCTCGGCATGCGGTGATACCTGGGGATGGCCCACATGAGGCGTAGTAGAAACCCCATCGCCCGAGCCTCGTCCAGCAGCCTGCCTCCAATCAAACTGTCGAACGCCTTCCACGCATCTAGGAGCACAGTGACGCTGTGCCCTCCGTTGATGTTCATGATCTCAGCCGTCAGGTTGTGGTGGCAAGCTGCCGCCGTCGAGGTCCTGCCAGCTCCACCTGTGCCCCAGAGATTGGGCACGTCCGCCTGGTCGAGCCAGGCCCGCGAAATCGTCGAGCGCGCCTTCGCCCACAGACGGAGGAAAGAGTTTACAAGGGCAATCAGCCTGCACCCTCCGCTCGCCTTGGGCAGGCGCACCAGCACTGTGTACACCCTGTCGGTCGGCCACACCCCCAACTTCTCGCACTGGCTGAAGAGCGCCGACAGCACGTAAAGGCCGACGTCGCTGAGGTGCCAGAGGGCCCGCGGTGCAATGCCCGTCTGGCCCACCGCGGTGCGCCCCTTGAAACACAGCGCCGCGCGTCTGAGGTGACCGACGCTCATCCGCGGGAGCTCGGCCCAGTCGTCAAAGCCAGGGGGCTTCTCCAGGGCGCCCTGCTCATGGACGGTCCACACGTCCCTCCATCCATCGAGCTCGCGGTCAGCCAGCTGGCGCGGGCTGGCCCGCGCGGTGGCTCCACGGACCTCAGCCTCAGGAGGTAGCCTCGTGAAGCGGTGCGCAGCACTCGCCCCGCCTGTGAGGCTCTTGGCCGCCCACGCACGCCACTCCTTCTCCCGCTCGCCATTGTAGCGCCTGGCGAGCCGCTCGGCCTCCGCCACGATCTTCTCGACCCGGGCGGTCCACATCCTCTTGCTCATCTGGCCCACGCCACCCAAGAGCCACTGCACGACGTCCTCCGAGAGCTGGCCGGGCACTCGCTGCGACTTCGCCACGTTGCCGTAGTAGCGGTGGGTCTCGAGGATAAGGTCCACGGCCCTCTCGATGCGGTCGTCCAGGTCGCACCCGAGCAACTTGACCAATCGCGCGCGTGCAGCATCCAGATGCCGAGCCCACCTTCCCGCCACCATGTGGGCGCTGACCTTCGGGTCGTACAGCTTCCTCCGTCTCGGCGGCTGCCAAGTCGGCTGGACCAGCTTGAAGACAGGCTCGCCCGCCCTGCCAGTGTGCTGCCGCCTCTCCACCCCCGTGAGGTACCAGCGGCTGCAGAGCTCGGCCTCCGCCATGCCGACGACAGCGCCCCACGCCTGCGCCAGGAGGCCAGGCTCCTCCGCCGCGAGGACCTGCTGCAGCGCCGCCCGCCACCCTCGGTCATGAGGGAAAGGCGCTGCGCCCACTGGCGGCACCGCGGTGAACCCCCGCGGCTCGACGGCGACCCTGGCAAAGGCCTCGCGGTCGACCGTGGCCAGGTTCACGTGCACGGGGGCGTGTGGGTGCAGTACCGCATCCATCGTGACCCATGCCTCGCCTAGCCTCGGGTCCAGGTTCGGCGCCACGATGAGGTAGTCCAGGCAGGAGCCCTCCACCGTCTGCCAGCAGGTCGGCTCCGACGGGACGATCGGGACGCCCCGCACCTGCTCCAGCCATGGCCCCTTCAGCTCGTCTAGCTCCATGTTCCAGTCGCCCATGACGACCCAGTCCAGCCCGCACGCGTTGAGCACCCTGAGGTAGCGCTGCAGCTCGTGGACCGTGTCCGAGTTATCATCGCCCATGCCTGCTGAGTGCCTCAAGTAGACCACCACAACGATGATGCCACCCTTCACGCCCCAGTGCACGTGGCCCGCCAACACACGCGCCTCCTCCAGGACGTGGGAGGGCGTGAAGGGCGGCGCCGTCACAGGGATGACGTTGCGCGTGAGGAGCGCGACGCCACTGGAGACATCCAGCGGGCCACCACCTGTGGCCACGCCTGGGGCCCACAGACCATGGAAACCCAGGTCCTTCACCTGGCCCTGCAGGGAGCACAGCTTGTCACCCAAGACGCGGTGCTCCTGCACGCCGAAGATGTCACCCTTCGGGTCCTCCGCGAGGTACTCGGTGAGCCCTCTCGCGCATGAAACGTTGACCGTGGTCAGCACCCCTTTGACAGTGTCCGCACTGCCCCCGTACTTAGTATTACCAGATACTCCCATCATCATACTGAGTGTGGTACTCCCGAACAACCAAAGCCTCGGCTCCTGGCGCCTAGTAGGCACGGTAGGCCCAGGCACTGGCAGCCGCAGCGATCTGGTGCGCCTTGGCCCTGATCTCCGCTTCCTCGGTGGGGACTTGGACACCAGCGGCCGCGAAGCTGTCCCGCAGCTGCTCGACGGGCGCCTTGTCCTCCACCGTGCGCAGTCTCTTGGCGTCAGGCGGCGTCGCCGCCACGCCGCCAGGATCCCCATCACCAGCAGGCCGCACGCGCGTCGCAGCCCTAGGGCCGAAAGACGCCGCGATCTTGGGGTTGGCCAAGAACTTCTCCGTGACTTCGCCCGACGCCCCCAGCTCCTTGAGCAGGTCGGCCAAGCCATCGAGGTTCGGCGCACCACCTGGGGCCCCCACGGACTCCTTCGCATCGGGAGGCTTGGGCACCTGGGCGCTGAGCGCCCGCACCTGCTCCTCCAGCTCAGCAGCATCAGCACGCAGCTTCGTGCCCTTCTCACGCTCGGCCTCCAGCGCGGCCTGCGCCGCGGTGACTGCCTCCTGCGCCTTGGCCACCGCCGCATCCTGCCTGCTGATGGCGTCCTGCTTGGACTTGAGCTTCTTCTGGAGTGGGGGAGGAGGAGGAGGAGGAGGAGGAGGAGGAGGAGGAGGAGGAGGAGGAGGAGGAGGAGGAGGAGGAGGGAGAGCAGGGGGACCGCTGGGGGGACGAGAGCAGCAGGGAGGGGGGTGAGGGGGGGGGGAAGGAGCGGAGACGCGCACGGGGGGGTCACCAGGCCGGCCTGTCCGAGCTCGTGGGCTGCGAGGCACGGCGGGGGGGGCAGAGGCGGGGTGGCGGGGTGGCGGGGGAGGCGAGGCGAGGCGGCCCGGGTGGCTCAAAGGACGGCCAAAACGGGCCCGAGGAAGCTTGCCAAACGGCCAAACGGCCAAAAGTGCCAAACGGCCAAAAGTGCCTTGCTAAAGGGACGGCCAAACGGCCAAAAGTGCCTTGCCTATCTGAAATCCGTAATGCCGCGCGCAGCCGCAAGAGGGAAGGCAAGGAGGACGTGCCCAAGAAGGAGCAAGTGCGCCCGGCCCGTCGCGAGTGCTTCGGGCCGCGGCCCCCATGAGTGTGTGGACGACAAAAACGAACCCGAGGACGGCCATAGGTGGCCTGCCCGTCCAGCATCCTTAGGGCTCGGCCCACAAGGGCGTCGCACCGCGCAACCACAGGGTGAGCCCGCCCCAAGGGCTCCCTGAAGGGCTGGCCAGCGAAAGTTGCCAAAGATGGGTCGAGGGGGAAAGGATGCACGGGTGACCTTGGAAACTTGGGCATCCTTTCTACGCGCCCTGATTGTAGACGGGGGCCAGGTGTCACGACGGAGTCCCAAAGGGTTCCTCGCACGGTGCGCTGGCCCCGGTGGGCTCTGGCACGGCCAAGAGGTCGGCGGGGCGCGCCGGGGCCGCGGTCATGAAGAGCGGAGCGTCGTAGGAGGCGCGGCCATGGGCGAAGCCAGTCACGGGGGCGGCGCCGAGGCCGCAGATACAGTCAACGTCGCACGGGTACGCGTCGGCGTAATCCGCAACCGTGTGGTACTCAACGTCGACGGCGAGGAGGGCCTGCGTCTGGTAGGCCTCTTCCGCGTCATCCGCCTTGGCAGCCTGCATCTGCTCGTGGTCCTGGAGGATACCGTCCAAGGCGAAAGTGAGGCCGTGGTGTTGATCCGCGACGATGATCCGCGACGATGAGCGTGCACTGGTCGCGCACTGTCATACCGTCAGGCCCACATGCGGCCCAGACTTGCCCAAGCCCGTACGCGCTGATCGCGTACTGGGCCAGCTCCTTGAAGATGCCCACGAACATCTCACAGTCGCCTGTGTTCGAGGGGGGGCGTTCGATGAAGGCGCAGAACTTACTGAGACTCTGGTACTCGCTGCCCTTGTACTAGTACGGCGAAGGTACTGACGTGGGGTCAGACAATATGGTGGAGATGCTACTGGCGCATGATGCTGCAGCATCGGCCTCGGTGGGGGCCAGGGAAATGGGAACGTCCCAGTTAGACGCATCAAGACTGATGAGGGGGTCAATGTGAGTGCCAAGGGCTTTGACCCTGGTAGGTCGCAACAATTGCCCGATGTTGCATATGGACGTGATGCAGCATGGTGTACTTGATCATGAATCGCCCGCGCAATGTCATCAGATGGCGGCGCAGTCGTGGCTGATGGACCCGGTGTTCGTGGTAGATGAGCTCAAGCTTGGAGAGACGCTGATGGACTGGCTCGTTGCATGCTGCAGCAGCCCGGTCTGCGCCGCCACTGCTTTGGAGAGCAACAACGGAGGCCTCCTGTCGCGTGAGAAAGCTCTCGGGATGTGAGGCGTGGCGGCCCTTACATGAGAGCGTGGGTGGCGGAGTGGCAGCAGGGCGCGGGCGGCGCTGACCTGACGCCACGGCGGCACGCACAGTAGATACGGAGGTGGCTCCGATCAGTCACACCGTGGGATGGGGGCGCGTCCAGTCTCGCCATGCGAGGGGGAAAGCTGCGCTGGGGGCTTTGCGTCGCAGCTCGGTCTGAGCAAAACTCTCGAGCCGAGAAGAGGGCGAGAGAGAGAGAGAGAGATTAATATGTGTATGTGTATCTATATAGAGAGAGATATCTATAGAGAGAGACAGGGAAACAAGAAAAGGGGCAGAGAGAGAAAGAGAAACAAACAAACGAGTGGGGGGAGAGAGAGAGAGAGAAGTATAAGAAAAAACACGAGCAGCGCAAGCAAATGGAAAGAGGACGAGGCGAAGGATGGGTGATCGTGGGAACGGTGATGGGAGGAGGAACGCTCCTCCTGAAGCCAATGGCTTCTCCTCTTGCCCTTCGGTTCCCCACGCGTGGGCCCCGGACCCGCCGATCCCTTCCCGGGATCGTTTCTTGATGGCCTCCCGAACTCCCGAGCCAGGGATCGACCTACACCGTGCGAAATGCTTTAGAAATCATGGGTTAAGAAATTCATAGTCTCAGAACTTGAATAAAAACCCAAAATTTCCATTCAAATCTTAGGATTTACATTGAAACGTTAAGAATAATCGAGACTCTGGCCGAAAACTTAGGTTTTCTTAAGCATCGCCTAAGGTGTACACGGGAGTCCCCGTTCTCGTTCTGCCGCCCTCCTCCCTCGCTCTGCCTCCGCCCCGCCCCATGCTGCGAGCCGAGGTCGACACGAAGACGGCCCGCGAGATCGCCAGAGCACCGTGCTGGTCGAGCCCTGCCAGGAGCCCCCTCTCGGCCACGCGCAGGAGTGGTGAGAGTGACCTCTGGTGCGAGGCTTCTTGAGTGCCGCGGGGGGCCCAATCTGCGCGCAAGACGCTACTGCCGCATCGCGTTCGGCGATCGGGGGGCCCCGATGGGCCCGCACCAGGGGCCACACGGGCGGAAGGTCACGCTTACGTGTAGTCGACCCCCCTCCCCCGAAGAAGTGACCCCCCGACTCGCGCTGGAGCGGCCGCGATGTGCTCCAAACTTCCCTGGAAATCTCTGAGGCTGCCTGGACTTGCCCAGATTTACCTGGGCGTACCTCGGTTTACCTGCGCGCACCTGGATTGATCCAGCTTGGGTCCCCACACGCCGACTTCGACGAGGAGTCGTCCAGCCCTTCTGAGGCCCCTCCCCCCTCAAGAGAAAAAGGCCCCCCGAGGCCGTGGGGCCGCGAAGAGGCAGCCCCCGCCCGCACGCTCTCCGGGCGCGACGTGGGACATCCGCCCCCCGCACCCCCCCGTTTTTCTCCCTCCTCCTCCTCCTCTCTTCCCTCCCCTCCATCCTCCTCCTCCTCCTCCTCCTCCTCCTCCTCCTGCTCCTCCTACTCTTCCTCTTCCTCCCCCTCCTCCTCTTCCTCCTCCTCCCCCTACTCCTCCTCCTCCGCCTCCTCCTCCTCCTCCTCCTCCTCATCATCATCATATCATCATCATCCCCTCCTCCTCCTCCTCCTCTCCTCCTCCTCCTCCTCCTCCTCCTCCTCCTCCTCCTCTCCTCCTCCTCCTCCTCTCCTCCTCCTCCTCCTCCTTCTCCTCCTCCTCCTCCTCCTCCTCCTCCTCCTCCTCCTCCTCTCCTCCTCCTCCTCCTCCTCCTCCTCCTCCTCCTTCCTCCTCCTCCTCCTCCTCCTCCTCCTCCCCTCTCATCAGCTTCCGTATATCGCTATTCAAAGGGAAGGGTTCCTCCTCCTGACCTCCTCCTCCTCCTCCTCCTCTCCTCCTCCTCCTCCTCCTCCCCTCTCCCTTCCCCCTCCCCCTCCTCCTCCTCCTTCCTCCTCCTCCTCCTCCTCCTCCTCCTCCTCCTTCCTCCTCCTCATCCTCCTCCCCTGCTCCTCCTCTACTACGACTACTACTCTCCTCCTCTCTTCCCCTCTCCTCCTCCTCCTCCTCCTCCTCATCATCATCCACCTCCCCCCCTCCCCCCTCCTCTCCTCCTCTTCCTCGATCCTCCTCTCCTCCTCCTCCTCCTCATCCTCCCTCCTCCTCTCCTTCCCCCTCCTCCTCTCCTCCCCCCTCCTTTTCCCCCCTCCTCCTCCTCCTCTCCTCCTCCTCCTCCTCCGCCCCTCCTCCTCCTCCTCCTCCTCCTACCTCTCCTCCTCCTCCTCCTCCTCCATCCTCCATCCTCATCCTCATCCTCATCCTCATCCTCATCCTCATCCTCATCCTCATCCTCATCCTCATCCTCATCCTCATCCTCATCCTTCTCCCCCCTCCCCCCTCCTCGGGGCGCGAAGATCTCTGCAGATGGGCGATGCCGGAAACCCTGAACCCAAGCACGCTTCCATCTCGTGGAGTCACATCATCTCTTCCGCCGAGGAAGGGCTGGCAGCTCCTCCGATCCTCGGAGGCAGGGCCCTCTCTGGAACGCCCCACACAGTTATCCGCTGCTCCCTGGCCAGGCCCATCCTGAACCCAGCAGCGGTGTATACACCTCGCCCTCCTGGCTTGGCCAGGAGGGCGTATACACAGCTCCTGGGCCCTTCCCAGGCCCAGCCAGGGGTCGTCCTGCCTCCTCCCTTCTCCATCTTACGGCAGGCTCGTGTCGTGTCGACCCCGGCAGTGGTCCCTGACACCGCGGGGATCGTTCAAACTTGGACGATTGGCCGTTTCCGAAACGTCAGATCGTTCAACAGCGACCGATTCTGGGTCGCTGGCGGCGCTCAACGATGCAAGCCGACGGCGAGGTCGCCGCCGCTCGACGGGACGCGAACCTAATTACCGTAACCCCCTCCCCCTCTTCTTCCACTCCCTCCAACCTGCTCGCCAGGGCCGAGGGGGAAAGGGAGAAGAGGCCTCGGAGGTGGCCTCACGGGGCCGTCAGAAAAACGACGAGGCCCCATCTGAAACTTGACGCGGGCGCTTGCTGCAAACATCCCACGAAAGCTGGACCGCTTGAATCCATGACAGGCCCGGCAAAAGCGTCAGCTATAACTCGAGTTCCGGCGAACTCGGGTCGTACGTGTCCCCGAACTTCCTGGGAGCTGTACAAACCCAGACTTCCCACGAAAGCTGGACCGTTTGAGTCCAGGACGGGCCCGTCAAAAGCGTCGGCTGATCCGAGTTCTGGCGAGCTCGAGCCTTCGGTGCCCCCGAGCGCTCTCTCGGAGCTGTACGGACACGGCCTTGCGGAGGTCCCCGCGGAGTCCTGGGGATCGGCGCTGGACACCCTCCCCGGGCGCCCGGACGGCGCCAGGGCGGCGCTGGAGGCGCCGCCGCGCGGACCGAGCGCCGACCTAAGAGGTCCGCGCGGAACTCCGAAGTCTGCGCTCGGGCCGCCCTTCTCGTCGAGAGAGGCGAGCAAAACGCTCAGAACAGCTGCGGGGAGCCACACCGCGAGGGACTTGGCGACCCCCCTCCCCGATGTTTCTGTTGGGGGGGACCCCAAGTGAAGCAGACATCCTGGGCCCAACTCCGGGACATGCGATGCGGGGGGAAACGCTCACCCTCGCAAGGGGTGCGCCCGAACAGCCCCCGGAAGGTGCACTCCCGACGCCCCCCCCTCTTCTCTGAGGAGCGACCCGAGCTCTCGGGGAGGCAGACTGGACGGCACGGGGAGCCAGAAAGTCCAGGGAGGACGGCCCCACAGAGGAGGAGGAGGAGGAGCAGGAGGAGGAGGAGGAGGAGGAGGAGAAGGAGGAGGAGGAGGAGGAGGGAGGAGGAGGGGAGGGAGGAGGGAGGGAGGGAGGGAGGGAGGGAGGGAGGGAGGGAGGGAAGGGAGGGAGGGAGGGGGAGGGATGGAGGGAGGGAGGAGGGAGGGAGGGAGGGAGGGAGGGAAGGGAGGGGAGGGGGGGGGGGGCTGGAGGGGGAGGAGGGAGGGAGGGAGGGGAGGAGGAGAGAGGAGGAGGAGGAGGGAGGGGGAGGGAGGAGGGAGGGGGGAAGGGAGGGAGGGAGGGAAGGAGGGAGGGGGGAGGGAGGGAGGGGAGGAGGAGGAGAGGATGAGAAGGAGGAGAGGGAGGAGGAGGGAGGAGGAGGAGGAGGAGGAGGAGGAAAGAGGAGGAGGAGAGGGAGGAGGGAGGAGGGAGGAGGGAGGGGAGGGAGGAGGGAGGAGAGGAGGGAGGAGGGAGGAGGGAGGAGGGAGTAGTCCTTAGATGGCGGGGGGGATGCACGGCTACGTGTTCGACCATGCCCCCCTGATTACCCATTGCTCCTGGGCCGTCTTCGGCGGTCTCTGGGCGGTCTTCCGGCGGTCTTCGGCGGTCTTCGGCAGTCTTCTGACAGTCTTCGGCGGTTCCCCCGGCGGTCTTTGGCGGTTCCCAGCGGTCTTCGGCGCGAAAGCTGGGCAGTTGCGTTCAACAAGGGCCTAAGCAAGGTAGTAAAGTCGATCAGCTGACAACAGAAGGAAAAT